CTCCAATCTTGCTCCTTCTCTTTTACTGTTAATACTTTTTTCCTAAAGTGGTGAGGGTGGAACGACGTGGAGAGCTGCTGTTTTTTGAAGTGCAGTTGCTGGGCTGTGTTGCACATTGCTTACACAGTGAACCGCGGGTCACGATCTGACGGTAGGAAGTCAGTCGATACAGAGCCATGTTCGCAGGTGAGATATTTCATCACGCAAGATTTATGCGATCTGAAGGATCATAGTGATTTGGTCGTGCGTCGGCACGACGAACATGACGAATTTTGTCAACAAATGTCGACAAAGACGCAAACGGCCGTGTGGCCATCCTTGGCGGGTGACAGCGGCGACTTGATGATGAAACCGCAGGACACCAGCAGACTGTCAGACTCCAACAAGCAGCACAGCCGCAGACTAAGGTTTGACAAACAATCTCAACATAAATAAATAGCCTATCTTTTATTTGGACTTAGCGCAAAAGCCCACACATTAGCAACAAGACAAATACACAGACAGCAAACTATTTTTCCTACACCGCTTTCATGCATATGCACAACCTGCCGTGTTCACAATCAAGAGATTTTCTTAAATTGGTTTGGCAGCACAAGAAACCCTGAAAATACAGGATCAGCCGGAAAACAGAAAACGGTAAAACCCCCCTCTTTGTTATATATATATCGTTAAATTGTGAGATCGTGAAATGCACGTAATATAATTCTCCCACTTATTTAACAACAAGTCACCTTGTTCCTCACAAGTTCCGGTTCACATTGTGTCGATCGGCGCAAAGCGGACCCAGGACCCCAAACGCACGCTTAGTCCTTCGCTGCCACGTAAGCGCCGTGAAATCGGTACGGCACCTTAAACGGCAAGTCCACGTTCGCCAGCCCGCTCATATCCGCTGCGTCATACACACACAATACGCTTCTCCCGCCCGGCATGATCTTCGGGGCCAGCAGCACTCCGTCATCCTCGGTTGACCCGTCGGGTCGCGGCACAAAAATGGGCTGCCCTGCAAGTGGGGGGTTTCGTCGAGTGGCAGCTAATATCTCCCGCCGTTGCCGGAAAAACAAAAGTTCGTCAGAAAAACAGGAGGTGAACAGGTAAACGAAGGGTACATACAGTGGTTGGAAAAACAACATGGATGCGAATGGATGCGGCGGTACGAGGTAAGAAGCAACATATTCCCTGATGCTGATGCACCGCTTATGATTATGATAACCAGAACGCGTTCGTACGCGGTCAGCAGGCCCCCGGACTTCACACGGGAATCACATGCACGAAGGGAAGGACCAACTGCCGGCTCCCAAGTGGAGCTGGGGCTGGGGCTGGCAGGAAAGGGAAGGGAAAGAACGCGCGTTCTAGGAGGGCAGGAAAGAGCAGGGCCAGGATTTTAACCCAAGTAAAACCCTAAAACCCTAAAACCCACCTGGCATGCTTCCCGGTATGGAACACACAATACTGCTCCCTTTTTCCAGGTCGTGACGAGCCAGCGCGTTG